CCATGTCTGCAGCCCCTCCCCTGCCACCAAAATCTCATCGTGTAAACCCGGCACATTTAGTAACCAAATGAAAAAGATGGAGCATTTGCTGAGTTTAAAAGTATAGCAAAAGGAAAAAAAAAATATTCAAAGGGCTTTAAGGGTCTCCTGGAGCTTTCAGTCCTCTCATCCCGAGGCTCCACACCACGAGGTGCTGCAGGACGAGTCCCAGGAGTATCAGTTCATGGCCTTGCACCAAGATGTTTGGGTTTGCAGTCACAGTTTTGATCCATGTTCCTTGGTTTGGTCAGAGAGGGTAGAAAAAGGAGCCCAAATGCCACGTGGATGCCAACACACAGGCAGACATCTTGTGCCAGACCAGCCTGCACTCACGCAGCACTTCCAGCCTCGCGTCGTTGGCTGGGGACCGCTGTTGACCGGTGAACTGGAGGCAGCAGCGATGGGGAGGGAAGGGGGGGATGCTGCAGCCCCATGGGCCAGGGTCCGGCAGAACGGAGCACCACGCTCAGAGCAGGCTCACAGGTGCATCGGAGCCGTGCCGGGGCTGCAACGTGGGGTCTGGCTAGCTGACCAACAAGTGGTGGCTTTTCTCATCCTGCTTTCGGCACCCCGGCACGTTGTTGCCCATCTTCTCATCATCTGTCTGTAATTGCAAAGGGACAAAAGCTTCACTCAGGCTTGTGGGAGTCGATCCCTTCGCTGGTGAGAAAGAGAGGGGGAACCCACGGGCTTGGCCACAGACCCCAAGAAAGGCCAGTGAAGCCCCGTCTGTCCATGCCCCCTGCTCCAGGGGTTGCATATCCCTCCCTGAGGTCTTGCCCAACTCCTTGCTTGGCGCTGGAGCCCCTCCGGGGAGGTGGCCATGAGCACCGACTCACCTGGGGCACAGCCTGGACGGTGAAATAGATGGTTCTGGAGTTGTCCATGTCTGGGATTGGTGCCTTCTTTGGGTCATCTTGCTGTGTGTTAGAGAAATTCTGCAGGTCCCTCTGAGGAGAAGATTTTAACAAGTGTTTCCAGGGCTCGGAGCTGGCAAAGGGGTCTCGAAAGCCTGGGTGAGCCAAAGAACCCAAGTTTGGTGGGGCTGGTGATAGAGTCCCTGGTGATGCACCGGGAAGTGCAGGCAGGTGGCCGTGCTGGTTGCCTTTGGGCAACCCCCGGTGCTGGCATGTCCCCTTTCTGCTTCCCAGGAGGATCTAACAGACAAACCCTGGGGCTGTCCAGCTGCTGTCCTTCCTCCCCGTCCACACCACGTGGTCTCCAGGCCATCCCCGTCATGTAGGGACCCCTCGGCTGCTCAGCCCGGTCCGGCCATGTACCAGCAGGACGAGGATGAGTCTGCACCAACTCACCTGCTGAGAAGGGCCGACCTGGGCGTACACCGTCGAGTCCTCTGCTCCTGCTCTGGCCCCTGCAAGGAGAAAAAAGTGGAGGGTCAGTAAGGGAGGGGCTGCGGTGAATCCCCTTGCACGACCCGCGGTGCTGCCGGCGAGGGCAGGAGGGAATCCCGGCGTAAAGTGTGCTGGGGTGGGGCCATGCTGGAGCTCCAGCACCCAGCAACCCCTCGGAGCTGCTGGAGTTGCTTGGTGTGGGTCTGCGTCGAGGTGAACGCGGCTTCTCATCCCACCATCCCTCCTGCCCCGGCCGCTGCAGGAGCAGGACGCTGGCTTCCAGCTCAAACAGCAGCAGTGGAAGGGACTTGCTAGTGAAAATCAGCTTTTTTTTTAAATTTAAATCCAAGATTCACGGCTGCTTTCGGAGGGCAACACGTGTTTGTCTTTCCTTCGTACGTTGCCATCGTTGCGGCAAGCGTTAGTGTTGGCTCCTTCTTTGGCTTATCGACCAGAGCGGGGAGAGGGGATTTAAATCCTTCATAATCCCATTTTTGGGTCAAAATTTCTCTGCTTCTCATTTGAAGTGCTGCTGCCAGATCCTCAGAGGAACAGCCGTGAAGGCTTCAGCCCGTGCAGAGAGAAACACTTCAAGAAGATGTTTTGTCCATGGTTCCCAACGGAAGAACTGGATCCAAATCATCGGTTGGGAGGAGCCCGTGGTCCTGGTCCTGGTGTGCGCCGACATCCCAGTGGGGCACACGCAAATGCAAAAGACAAGGCAGGCACTCCCCTGTTCACATCAGCTTTATTTTGGGTTAGAAAAGACAAAACACGCACATTAAAAAAAAAACCAAACATGTCAGCAAGATCTCTGTTGGGTGTTGGCTCAGTTGTAGCGGTGATGGGCGCAGTACCCGTCACGAAACAGCCCTGAACATCAGGGAGAGGAGATGGGAACGGGTCCAGTGGTCGCTTCTTCCACCCAGTGTCTCGGCTGGACTTGCACCCCGAACCCCCGGATCTGGCGGAGCCGATTCCGATGCGATGCTGAGGACATGCTTCAGGCGCCGTGGCCACCATCGCCATCGTGCTGCTCCACCTCTCACAGGAGCCTCTGATCTCTTTTCCCTAAAAACCGGGGAACTGGGCAGTGGCTCTTTCGGGCAGCAGTCGCTCGAGCTGCACATGGTGCTGCAGGGGATTGTTTCTGGATGGGGGAAGCCCAGCCCCCCATTGCTCGTCTCTGCTCCCCCAGTTGCTTCTTGCCAGCTCTTGGCTTTTCCCAAAATCCCTCTTGCTTTGGCAACCTCATGGCTCTGCTCCCAGCTTCTTCTTGGTGGGTTGGCATGAAGTTTTCCAGGAAGAGATTAGAGGGGAGCATGGCTTCAGTCACCGTGACGTCGCCTGGGCTCATCCCCTTCCACTCGCTTTTGTGCATGCGGCGTGGGGGCTCGGGGTCCCATGAGCTGGGGTACACTCCGGTACCGAGCCACTGGATGGGTTATCTTAAACGCCACTAGACCATTCCCACCAAAAAAAAAGGGGGAGAGAGGGAAATGCCTGGGGGCGCCCCAAAGTCCTACCTGTGTCCGTAGGCTTGGCTGTGGGCAAATGGAAGATCCTCCACCCTGGGGGAGAAGCAAGATGGGGTTCCCGTCAGCAGCGGCAATCAAAGCGAACCCCACACAGCATCCTCAGCTCCAGCTGCTGCACCTCCGGGCACCGGCACCGGCTGTGTCCTCCCCTCGCCCTGGGTCCCATCTCCTGCTCGCCAGGGCTGCAGGATGGTTGCCCATGGTGGAAACAGCTCACCTCTTCGTGTACAGCAGACCACGAAGACAATCGCTGCTAAAAGGACCGCGGCTCCAATCACTGACACCACGATTAGAGCCTGCCTGCTGGAGTAGGTGCCTTGGAAGAGAAGAAAGTTTGGTAACAACATCCCAAAATGTATCTGCCTGTTCTCAACATCAGAGCTGGGGGGAAACGGGCACGGCTCTGCTCCAGCACCCCGCTGAGCCCTTTGAGATGCTTGTTTCACGATGACACGGACCAACATGGAAAGGAGACGATGCGCGGCACGAGGACGAGCAGCTTTGCAGACAGAGCAGCGGCCGGGGGGACTCCCGGCCCAGGGCTGCCCCCACCGATGTCCCCTGTGCTCCGGGGACCTCATGGGCGGCTTTTGGGGAAGGAAAAGCCCATGTGGGCATTTGGAGAGGCAGCAGGGGTACAGGGAGCCACGCTCCCACCGCCCGCTCGTCCTTGGCTCTGTCTCTCCATTGCATGGATTGATTTGATGCTCCCACCCATCCCAAGCTGAGATTTTGAGGGAGGGAACAAGCCAGAGATGTGGACTCAGCTCCCCTCCCCAAATTCCCCAGGTGACAAAGACAACACATGGACACTAAGAGCGCGGCTCAAAGCCTGGATAACCCCCGTGAGCCTTTTTGGGAGGAGATGGACTGGGTCAGCCTCAGGCTCCCCATCTCCCCCCATCCCCAGGCAATGGGGGGCCGGGGCGGCCGGACGCTATTAGCTGGCTGGGACACACTGAGACATTCAGGAGCGAGGCCGGACACGGACGGGCGGTTCGGCAGCTCACCGGTGGTGCGAGGGTGGGTTGTGTTTTCTGGTGGCACAGGTGGCGCGGCAAGGGGAGAGAACAGGGAGAGAGATAAGTAAGAGGGTCGCGTTTGTCTCTTCGCATGCCGAGGCACAACTCGGGGCAGGGGGGGAAGCTGGAGTCACTGGGAGCAGGATATGGCCCATCCCCACCACCCACCCACACGTCTTTCCGTGGCAGTTACCTGCACAGACATCAGCGGGTGAGATGACGGTGATGTTGCGGCGGCTGACG